GTAATCCAACGTGATCATTTTTAACTTGTCACTAGAAGGCGCTGCAACTCAGCTACAGCAGCTGGTTTACGTTCGTGGTTAACAATTTTCCGTCTCTGTTCTGCCCAACAGTTTTCAATGGAATTACAATCTGGATGCTTTGTTGGCCTTGACAATCTTGTTACGTTCTCCTGGTCGAGATAATCCTGTACAATACGCGCTGTATTGGCAGTTGCATTGTCATCCTGGAACAAAAAGTTATTGATAAATCTTACCCTAGCATATTATAGAAATATAGTCTACAATTGACGCGCCATTGACGTTTCTCTGGAGGGTATGAAGAGTAGTTTGTCCACCATGATGAATAGCTGTCCAAGTATGTACTGCACCACATCCTGTGTGTTCCCTGTGGGAACTAATCTTCCCTCATCTGTTCTCCAGGCAAACAACGAACACGAATCCTACCATCAGCTTTAACAAGCCGGAAACAGGACTCATCTGAAAAGACGACATGTCGCCACTGTCTTAACTGTAAGTAGGCATGCTGTCTTGCCCAAGTAACACAGGGACGGCGGTGAATTCTGGTTAATATCAGTTTGTTTGGTCAGTCTCCTATTTACTCTTCTTCTGGATACCCTTGAATGAATGTGTTCATGCCATTCCTGCCGTGAGGTGTTATAAGACTTCTTTCCACCTTAACGTGTTAACCTGACCGAAACACGATCATCTCAGACAGTAGTTTTTCGGCGTCTTCCTGGAACAAAGTTTTCTGTAATCCGATGACGTTTCAGGATTCTTGATAAGTGCACTAGTGGTACCCTACTATTCTGGCAATGTCCGTTTGGTTCATACCATTTCTGGGCGGTCGAACAATTTGACGCTCTATAACTTCTGGCACGTGACGAGGCATGATTCTACACCAAGTACAGAGAAATTATATAAAGAAAGCGTTGATCAGTTTCGTAAAAGATTATACCAAAAGCACACCGTTTTATGCAAAATACGTGTGTATGTGTGTTTTGACGAACAAATACTCAATACAGCTTATATAGATCAGAATATCAACTCGTACATGTTTAGCCGGTTATACGCTACCTTCTCTGTTACTACTCGGGCATTTAATCAATAACTACTCCATGCATGTAGACAGTAACATTAATATAGAACAAAATGCAAACATTTTGACCAAAACTGTAGGAAACAAAACTATGGGATCTAAAATGGGGCGAATAAATTTTATAATTTTTAAATTTTATTTAAGCAGCTAGAGAAACTCTAAGAAACTAAGATGGCATCTCACAAAATGAATTGAAAGCGCTGAATGAGATGGAAAACATTAATGGTATTATAATTAAACCTAGCGATAAACCTGAAGGATTATAACCCTAAAATCCGAGTTTCAATAGGTGTGGTGGGCACAGTACAGTTATCCCATTGTGTAGCTTTGTGCTAAACAACCAACAAACAAATAATTAAATCTACTCACAGGAATTTATTATTCTTACTTATGGAGACCAAAGCGCGTTTTGAAAAAATAAACTGGATTTTTTTCAGACAGGATATTGTACCCATCCCTAGAGAGAAAAAAGGGTATATAACTGACAACAAGAACAACAACAAAAAAAAAGATTTTAAATTGCTTAGAGAAGAAGAAGAAAAAAAGATTTCCAAACAAGTTGTGAAACAATTCAAGTCAGAAAACAACAGACATTTACCAGGTTTCTGCAGCCCTCTCACTGATCACAAGAACATGCCTATAAGATAAATTGTTTGGCTTATATTTCTAGCATAGGTTTCGGATAGAATCCTATACTCACTCTAGTCTTAACAACCTAAACATGTATCGGTTACATGGAATCATATGTTTGACAACCTAAACATGTATCGGTTACATGGAATCATATGTTTGACAACCTAAACATGTATCGGTTACATGGAATCATATGTTTGACAACCTAAACATGTATCGGTTACATGGAATCTTATGTTTGACAACATAAACACGTGTCGGTTGTATGGAATCATAATCTTAACAATCTAAGCACGTGTCATGCATATGCCATCATAGTCTTAACAACATAAACACGTGTTGAGCATATGAATGACATCATAGTCTTAACAACCTAAACCTGAGTTGGGTATGTAGCATCATAATCTTAAGAAAATGAACAGGTGTTAGACATATGGCATCAGAGTCTTAACGACCTAAACACGCGTCAGGCATATGACATCATAGTCTTAACAACCTAATCATGTGTTGGGCATATGGCATAACTGTTTTAACAACCTAAACAAATTTCTCAGTTTCCTTAACACTGTTAATCCCGTAATTTGTTTAACTTGCGAGAGTCATCAACAAAATACCATTCTTAACACATCAACGGCACTTATAGGTTGTAAACCATCAACTTCATCATATTACAGGCTGTTAGCGTTTTCCTTTATTCATAATTAGAACCAAAACAACGTGAAACGATTAGTAATTGCACTGATTTAATAAAATCCCTGTCAATATTCACAAAATTACATCTCCCTAGATCATGCAAAACTATACTTCTATAAGTAAAAACGACTTGGATACCCCGTTACAAAATCAGATCTTCCTGTCAAAGCTATAATGTAACACGAATCACAAAAATAAAGCTACAACAGGACAATTTGCACATTTCTTTCCCTAATTTTAAAGTGATAGACCAAAAGAAAGGCAGCTAGCCAACAGCACCCACCGCCAACTCTTGGACTGCTATTAGACCGAACAATGGAATTTCACCGTTACTCTTACAACACACTTAGAGCCCTAAACTGCAGAGCTTGTTTATGTGGTAACGTGACGCGAACCATGAATCCCTGTATTTTGGAAGATATTATGTTAAATCGTCTCAACAAAACTGAATGCCCGAGGATGGTTAAATCACAACAACAGAAACGGAGTAGCAAAATAACAACTTCAGAAGACTTAACTGTTCGGAAACGGTTTTACCCTTACCACCATCTCTTGTGTTCTATATGACCCTCTACCCCCGCTTACCATTTATTCACATGTCTGTTTAAATATTATATTCCAGACATCATGTTGTAGATATCTACGGAAGTGACGTCAGAATATTGTATTTAATAGTCTGAATAGGAAGTCGGTACATTTTATTCCTTTTACCGCCTTACAATCCTCAGGAACTGGAATGTACTTCTTAATAAAAATGTCACGATGTGCAATGATAACTTTATATATACTTTCTTTTACCACTCCGCTCTGCCTAAAAGACACATCTAACACTGAATTATATTCCCCACTGTGGTACGTATCTAGGTCAAGCATGAACAATTATTTTACATACACATGAACCGTATTTTATATGTAGTGCAAGACTAAACAACATGACATTCTAGCAGGTAGGAGGAACACTAAGGTATTCTCAGGTAGTGAGACCTCGAGCTTTGCACGTGTAGAATAGTATGTTTGAGAACATCGGTAATCAGAAACCTTTTTCAAAATTAAAGACGTGAATACTCATGAAGAAAGTGCAGTTTACTTCAGTCTTCAGCACAAAAAAATGTTATATTTCAGTTGAGTAATAAGTGTACTTTTGTTAGAATCCCCAAGCGCGAGCTTTTGTACTGTTCTAACTAATGACACTAGCATTTCTACTTTTTTTTTTTAGAGCTATTCTGTTTTGGAACTTAAAATATGCAACTTACTAAAGCTTAAAGTTTGTTTTACGATTATGATGTACCTATAGTCAAAATAAGCAATTACTTAATGTAGGTTTACATACTTATTATATGTAGAAATTGAACAGTGGGCAATGCATTAAAAAGTGCTTAAGTTATGAAGGAGGAAACACCAAAGTATTATTTAATGGAACATTTCCCTAATGCGTTCGTTTAAAAAAAACTCTACGATTTGTGTTCAAGTCGTATATCCAAGCTGGTTTTCTGGATAAACTTACTTCCAGTTCTAGATAATGAATATTTTATAAAATGCACTTTTTTTTGTTTAGAACAACATTTTGAACATTGCCTCGTTGAAACGCTTGTTTTTCTCGACAGAAAACATCGAACTAATGATATTTAACACAAAATAGTAGAATTCATAAATAATTTCGTGGTGGCAATGTACTTCGCTCGCTGTTAGAAACACCACATTGTGTTTATCTTCATTATGAAACTCAGTCCTAACGACAAGAAAACTTTACAAGATTACGTGGATCATACAACAGAAGTTTCGTATATACATTTGAGCTAACTTCACAGCAGGATGTACAATGCCTACTCTTTATTACTTCAAAAGATTTCGATCGTCATACTATAGCAACATCATCTGAGAATCACAGAATGACTTAGATATTGCTTTTATTGCCACTGGGCTTGTAATTCGATGACTAATTGTTACATTTGTTTTTTTAAATTACGCACTTATTCTTATTCTCACTTTAATGGATTAATTTTCTTTCTTACTGATGATGAATAACTTTTTAAAGCAAGTTACCGGAAAGTTGTAATTAAAATGGAATATAGTAAGTTAAATAAATTCTAATAAAGGTAGTCCAATATTTCCATATAGTAACATATACAATATTAAGTTAGTCTGTACATTACAGAGTAAAATAGTAATAATTAAACTTAAATTAACATAAGATGTGATTTAAAATATGAACCACTTCCACAATTATAGCATCATACTGATAATGATGCATTTATTCATCAGTAAAATACCCTCGTTGTTAAAAGTGCTTTAGCTATAGCCTCAAAAACCAATTAGGATTATTCAACCTATAACTATTTTAAATTACTAACTATTTCAGGTGTATGTATATATATATACATACATATACGTGTGTGCGTGTTTTTAGTTTAGTTGAAATCCAACCTTTGTCGACAATTTAAAGAAGTTTTTCGTTCTCAATCCTTTTTTGTGTTCACAATTATTTACCTGTAAAATAGCCAACTTCAGCTAATCCTTTCAGGTATGATAATTTTTATACGGTCAAATCACGTTATCGTACTTATGAAATCAAACAATAATGAAGCCAAATGCTTATGGAGAGATTACCAGTTACCAGTTGCTTGTAAAAACAATTACCATACGGAGTAGAGTTTCAACACATATTCCTACATATTGACCCAGCAACTGCTACATACTGATTCCGTCTCTATATCGTCTGTTGTTTCATTATAGACTTTAAACTTCTTATTGATCTTTTTTTTTTAAATAATTAAACAGCGAAAATTTTACTATCGAAATTGCCGGACGACAACTGAAATATATCAAATAAACTTTTTTCGGTGTTCAAGACGATTACATAAAGATTACTGTGTAACTCCACATGAAAAAATTGAATGTAAAGTGTAATTGTTGTTTCTCAATTCGAATTTCATATTTTGCTCTACACTTTAAAAAGAACGGTAAGTGATGGTGTGTTTTTAATGTTGATGCTTCATTACAAGTGCCAATGTTTCATAAGATATAGTAAAAAAAGATGCTAAGACGTATGAGTTTTTAATATCTACATTCTAAGGTTGTCGTTAAGAATAACAACGTGGCAACGTGATGTTGAAACATTCTTACTTAAAACCCAAAACGTAGATTATGACAGTATAGATGTGGCATGCTAAAAATAAGATTTTCTTGCTAATAGATTTTTTGTTGTTCTTTATCTGAGTAGGATTTTGTCGTGGGACTGTCCGCATTAACCCGAGGCTCAACTTTGGAGAAGCTTCAATGGACATTTAACCTTTACGACATTAACGGAGATGGCTGTATCAGTCGAGAAGAAATGTGTGAAATTATTATGGCTGTTTATAGCTTAATGGGAAGGTTTGCAGAACCCTCTGTCGACGAAGCTTCCGCCAGAGAGCACTCAGAGAGAGTGTTTCAGGTAGAAAAACTAAGCTTTTTTTTTGCAGTTATATGTTTTCGTATTATGCTTTTAAGCTTTGTCCAGCATTTATATACCTACTGGATGAGTACGCGACGTACAGTACTCTCGTGATTTTTAATACTGTTTTATGATTTACAAACACAACAAATATTGTAAAACATTTGTCTGTAGTGCTCTGCTTAATTTGGTACAAAACATTCGTGCCAATACTTATTACCACTCGTAAACTCATTTACTGACACTACGTACTGCTAAAATTTGCCACTGAAACAAAGTATAAAATAATCTCACACTAAGATTGATAGTAACCACAAATATGTATCATATTTTTCACTTCTCGAAAAGTATTGTATTACATTAAACCTCCCAAAATGGCGTTACCGTTCTTGCGTTACATATATTTATGTCAACTAACGGTTGTTAGTTTACATCTGGTTATAACTTTCCAAAATGACATCACAGTTCTTGCGTCACTTATGCTTTTTTTCAACTAATGGTTGGTATAGTTTTAAAACCTGGTTACCAACTTCCAGTAGAAGAAGTACTGGTGCTCTTACGTTTATGAGAGTGAAAAGGTGAACGACGTTTAAATTTAACGTGCATTGTTCTATACGAGTGCAAAACTACGACGTTTATAACATTAACATTAAAGACAATTACTTCAGTGTCATAAACACGAAAGGAAACCCATTAACGTAATTCTTTACTTTTTTGTAGCTTATAAATAAGGTAATTCCATTACACCTCAATAAAAATTCCAAAAAGCGCCTAAAAATCGACATTTAGATTTAAAGTTTAAATACGTTTCGTACGCGAGGCACGAGTTTACTCGCTATATAATTTACGTTAATTAGCCGTAAAGTCACTGCCATAACTTCATTCATTTTCGATGATCTACAGTTAACACATTGTGTGAAAGAAAATACTTAGAGGTTTCAGATGACTTACAAATGCAATTTGAACATATATATATATACCCAAATAATTTACAAAATAAATAAACACAACGACAGTTTATTTTTACACTTCTTGATACTATAATTTGGAAAATTCACTATTTTATGATGTCGCTTTATCAAGAGTAAGATCAAGCAAAAACTTAAGATCTTAGTCAAATATGGCGATTATTTAGAAGGCCAAGGTGTTTATACAAAAAATGTTGTGTACAGAGATATATTACGTTTATAGTCATTTCATGTTATTACATTTCTTTACTTTAAATCTAAATACAACTTCATATTCTGCCTAGTAAGTTTTTGTTTCATGCATGTCCAACTACATAGCCCCCCAGTGGCACAGCGGTATGTCTGAGGACGCTAGAATCTGGGTTTCGATACCCGTGGTGGGGAGAGCACAGATAGCCCATTGTGTAGCTTTGTGCTTAATTACAAACAAACTACATAATATAGCACCAGTAGCCCCCTAGTGTCTCAGTGGTATGTCTGCGGACTTACAACACTAGAAACCGGGTTTATATCCGTTGTGGTGAGAGCACAGATAGCCCATTGTGTAGCTTTGTGCTTAACTTCAAACAAACTAACATTAGTATTGTTTAGGTAATTTATCTGTTTAAAACATATACCCTATACATATATAGTATTCCACTTAATAATGCTGCATGTGAAAAAGTAAATCGATCTTTAGGCTCTGGCTCAAATGGCACAGCACAAGCTTCGTATGGGAGAGGTCGAGGATCCAATCCGTCTATATCCTTTTTCCCTTTTTGCTAAGCAATGTTTCAGTAGTCAAATAGTTTAGTCCCTACAATGTACGAGTTTATCACCTAGTAGAACTATAAGTAGAACAATAATACAACATTTTAATACGTAATTCTATTATTTTAGTGCTTCTATAGAACTGCTGTTTATAACGGTATTTCTATGTAAAGCAATTTTAATATGTAAAAAATGTTATGTTTTCTTTTAACTTCTCTACTTTACAAACATATATACAATTATTTTGTTGGTACCGTTAGTTTGAATCCTAGTTTAATACTTTTCATTCTAGTATCTAGCTTTCTACAAAATATAAGTCGAACTTAGGAATGTTCTACAACATAAACTTATGTATAGTTAACAGCAGTACAGAGTATTAACACCAACACACGTCATATATAGGTACACAGATATGTTATGAATACAAAATTTATATATAATCCTTTAGTAATCATGTGTCTTAGATAGTTTAATTGTTTGTTTGTTTCTGAATTTCCGGCAAAGCTACACGGGGGCTATCTGCGCTAGCCGTCCCTAATTTAGCAGTGTAAGACTAGAGGGAAGGCAGCTAGTCATCACCACCCACCGCCAACTCTTGGGCTACTCTTTTACCAACGAATAGTGGGATTGACCGTCACATTATAACGCCCCCACGGCTGAAAGGGCGAGCATGTTTGGTGTGACAGGGATTCGAACCCGCGACCCTCAGATTGCGAGTCGAGTGCCTTAACCACCTGGCCATGCCGGGCCTAGATAGTTTAAACCGGTGAAAATTCACGAACAAGTAAAAGGCTATAGCAAGTATATTAAGTATACTTAATTCAATACCGGTTATTATATGTGAAGACGTGAAAGACTGGTGAAGATTACCCTTCAACCCCTAGCGGTTAGAAGAATGAAATATAGATCCTCGTTTTTGTGTTTAACAAAGAACTTCTGTATCTGATTTTTCACTTTAATTTTCGTCTGCTCTCTATGTTTCAAATTAACTTAATAAATTAAAACAATTTCGGAGCGTTTAATTTTCATCAGCTAAAACAATAAGACCAGATTGAAAGTTTGAATAGCTGTTTTGTAAACTTTTTTTTCATGTTGAACTTTTTGAAAAGAATCGACCCTATAAAATCATGTTTGGCAAGTTAAAATTTATTAGTGTCATTTGTGCTTTCGAACAGGAAATCAATATTAATTCCTTTTAAGACTCATAAATATTTGAGTTACGCTGTGAATGCATTGTATTAAAATGTGATTAGACATATTGATATAGAAATCTATTATTGAACTCTTAATTTTTTGTACACAATTTAACCCAATTATTTTATACTCTGCAGACATAAAGGAGCAGATAAACCGAGCCAGTTACTTTTTTGATAAGATTAAAGTATAGTGTGCAACAGAAATTAATGAACTTGCACGTGTTACGTTCGTGTTGAGATCTGGTTGATGGGCTGTCTTATGCTTGAGCTAAATTTCCCCATATAAATGAGGCATTAAATTAGGTCCAATCTTAGTGTAGTGTCAATGGAATATTATCTTTATAATGAATGCTAAACTAGTTTGGATTAAGGTAGTAAAGGAAAACTACAACAAAATTTCTGCTTTAAATTACGATAATTAATATAATACACGAAAGTTTTAAATAGGAAAAACAATCTGACCAAATATTTTTCTCAGTGATAGAGAAGAGGAGGTGGCCGCATTTACCATTTAGTTTAATAACCGTGTTTAGTACCGCAATAAACACACTTACTAAACACTTAAAACTTCCTTCTACTCCGGCGAATTGAGTTGATTTGTTTTACCAGATTCTTATCACTGTCACAGTAGTTAATTAACTGGGTATTTTTGTAAGACAAGAATTTTTAAACCCGGATGGCTGGTCCCGTAGGCAAGTAATTTAAAGCAGAGAGAGGTAAAAAATATACTATTTCAAATTATTCATACTTGCATAAATATAGATCAAGTAAAAGAAAAAGGATGGAAAACTCGGCTGCACACAGCTTCACGACAGTTAAAGCGACATGGTGGGTGTGTGTGTATGGTGGAAACCTTTTCAATCATTATATATGTCTGTTTTTTATGTCGAAAATGTCATTTATTACGAAAACAGTTTCTAATAACGAATGTATATACAACTTTGTGAAAATTGTTTTACTTAAAAACTAATTGTTTACAAAATAATGTATTAAGCTATACACCTTTTCATTTTTCTCTATTCTCCAGCGACTAGATAAAAATAAAGATGGCGTCGTCACCTTTGATGAGTTTGTGGACACCTGTGTAAAGGTAAGCATGATAATATATTATTCATCTTTATCATAACATAGCCAGGGTAAACATACATTTAACATACTAACGAAACTGCAATAACTCACAAGGATATCACTTTATATTATTAAATGATTAAGTTTTACAATGTAAAACAAAAACGTTTGTGTTTTTGAAAATTTCCAATAATAGAGTTTCAAGTTTGAAACGGCATGTAATTACATCTGAAACATTAAATGGCGTTAATACCATTAGAGAGGAGACCGATTCTATAAAACTCCTAAAGTGTATTAAAAAACAATAACACGTGGTTTCTAAGTAGGTGAATAACACTTGTTGTTATCAAAGCACGTTTTGGTAGCCTGTATCTATTATTCCTGCTTTTCAAGTACATCCACTAATAACATTTTCTGTCTTTGCAGTTCAGCATCATAGAATAATCTTAAATCATGCGTAAGAAAGGTATATTAATTGATTAGAAGGTACACGAACCAGAAGAAATGGAGCCTCTGATCTCTGATCGTTCTTTGGGTCAAGTGACCTGGAAAGATCAGTTACACCCTGAACCTCTACCTCCTTCCTTGACTGTTGGTTTAGTTCTTGAATGTCGTGGATGAAGCTCACGTTAGTTCAGAAGAAGTTAAGCAAGCAAGATATTCTTGTCGGTGTTTAGGTGAAATTGAGGCATGCATGTCTCTTCGTCGGTATTTAGGTCTTCTACACCTGGGAGGGTCAGACACGTTTGACCTCTTCCCCCCCCTCCCTGGTAGATGGGGCTGGTTTCTGGACAATATTATTTTAATTACTACATCAGGCTCAGGATATTCCGCACTTTATAAATTTGACCCCTTTCAGGGCAATGTCCATGTATAAAATTGAGGTTACAATTCCGTCTGAACCTTTGAATTTCGCGCGTTGACTAATGTTTCCTCTGCTCCAACTCAAGTATTTCATGCAATGCTCTTTAATACTTCATATAAAATAATATGTCTGTCTGTTTCTTATTACGTTCCTTATTCTTCTTCAAAATGCATAAATGAACTAATTATAGGTTTGCAAGCAAATACTGTGAAACAAGGAAGCACTAATTGTATTTGTGAGAACAATTATAAATGTCTTTATACTTAATAGAAACTAAAGTGAAACATGAATTATTTATTAAACTTCAATATTGTACTTATGGAAATAGTCCCATACACATTTTGGACTAAACTATACAATTCGCGTAGTTAGAAAAGATCCCTACATGCACAATTCACATTGGGGGAAGAATCTATAAATTCAGTTCAACTAATCAAATCATACTGCAGAAAAAATTATATTATACATTAAGCATAACTTAGATGCTTTAAATTGTTGGGAAATAATGTCCTATAAAATGTGTTTCAACTTAATAAATTTCATACTGTTTTGTTAAGAAAGATTGATAAACGTCTCCTGTATTCAGCAGCTGGGTTACAAACGTTATTTTTTTTTTAAAAAAGGATTTAGTGGAACAGAAAAAGAAAAACTTGATAAAGTATGGATTATTTGGATTTTATATATTCTTATTGTATTTATGAAACTAAATCATTTTTTACTTCAGAAATTTCGTTACATAGTACACGTAATTTATAGTTAAAGTTTGTATTTCTTAAGTCTATATGTTTGGTTTTGTAAAATGTTTAATGAGTTTATTTTAATTACATCTTTTTCATGTTCTTACCAAGGAATTTCGATAACTATTTGAAACTAGTGTCACTCTATTTATTTGACTAAACCAGGTGCACTATATATCTCAGGGCTGTTAACTGTATATTGTTAAATCTACTTTACCAAATATGTAAGTAGTATGAGATGCTCGTATGGAGCCGGAAGTAAACAAACATGACCTTCACCCAATTTCGACAGAAACAATAGTATGTACCCATTGACCTTAAAAGAACGTGACTATGATAATTATAGGCGTGACTCAATCATATTTAACTAAAGTATGCAATGACGTGATATGAGTTATTGACAATAATTGGCGATCATTATAGTTTAAAAGTTAGAGTTTATAGAAACAATAGCTGTGTGTGTAATGAGTAAAAGCAGGACATGACCTTATTTGAGAAGTTATATAAAAACTCTTGTGTAGGAGTGACATTAATTATATATTCAGTATTAAGGTTTATATTATGTATTCTACAAAGGCAGATAGTGTTACTAACGTACAGTAGTCAATGATTATAGTTTTCACTTTTATATATAATTTGCATTTTTTCTGGAGTTTTTTCCATGTAAAATTATATCCCAAATCTTGCTTGTTTGGAACTGTATACATAATGCTGGATAATACAAGACTCATCAATGTATGTAAGTAAAATCACAAACTCTAAATAAGACTGTTGTCACACATGTACTGGGTGAAGGTCATGTTTGTTTACTTCCGGCTCCATACGAGCATCTCATACTACTTACA